ATAATTGTTCTGTCTCCAAAGAGCTCTTGAGTATTACTGTATATAAAGATGGACGAGATGACAGCCTACCAAATGTGAAGCTAAATCTTCTTGATCGCCATCTGGTGGCTGACTGCAGCATAGGTCATAAACCTCGCCTCCTCCGTGTTAGTGGATGGAACCTGGACAAAAATAAAAATTTCACGCCAAACACATTTTTCTCAAAGATCACACAGATGTTTTCTGTTGGTTTTTGGTTTTAATTGTTTAATCGATGAAACGTTCAGACTCTGGCGTAGCGATGGCGGCACCAAGATCCAGGATGTTTCAGCTTCTTTTTTTTCACCATCAGAGGAAGTGGAGACACGTGTCATCCATCTTTATTTACAGTGTATTATTAAATCAAAATCTTACATTCAATAATCAAACTTTACTTTGTACCGTTCCACTAAGACAATGGCTGCAATCATTTCAATTACAGTAAAACAACTGGGTTTAATTCTTATCCTCCGTGTATCTTACTGCACTTTTATCTTTCATTGATTTGAATCGATCACGTTCCTTTGTGTTCAAACTTGTTTTCCTTTTACCACGATCAGAAAGCCGTTAGGCTTGTTTCTTTTTTAAATCTGCTATAAAAACCTGACTGAAGCAAACAAATAAAACCACTCCAGAAAAAAAAGATTGATCATTTTATTTTCACTGGAAAGAAAAGTGTTTGTTACTAAAATATCTGTCAAAGTACGTCATTAAATAATTACATGCGCAGGATGGCAGCGTTCGTATCTGGCATATATTTGCTTCATTTCTTGATAGTGGGAGAAAGTAGAGGTGCATGTTTTTAAAAGTTTACGCTGGGAATGACTAGATCTTTTGTATCTGTCTCATGAACAAAAAAAGAAACTAAGCAAAGGATATGAGGGGAAGGAAATATCAGATTGGCTTCAAGCTGAAAAAATTAGAAATGTTCAATGTGAACGGATCAAATTGGATTTTACCTCTATTTCTTTCAACAAGTGCAAAGAGAGAAAAAAAGAGAAAGACAAACTCATGATGATAAACTTGAAAAGGAATCCTGAACATCTGACAAACACTTTGCTGACTCACTCAAAATATCAAACATTCATCACTTGTGTCAGAAAATGCTTTTAAAAGATCCCAGACTCAACAAAGCTGCTTCATACCAACGTCATTTTACAATTTCCACATCTCAGTTAAACAGGAGATTTGTACAAAGTCATAATTATACATGTTTGGATATTTACAATTGTTCAACTACTGATATTCAACACTTGGATTTTTTTGTGCATCTATTTACAGTCTTTACAAAAATACAACCACAGACGCCTCCTGTTTGCAGCCTCCAGTCTCAGGCTCAGTTTTTAGTGCAAAGGAGCAAAGCTTGACAAAACATCAGCGTCTCAGTCCGTCTCCTCGGCTCCGACACCTCCAGGTCAGCCACAGGTCAAAGCTGCAGCTAAATAAAATATTCCCTCTGGTTCTCACTGGGGATGTTGTGCGAGCTGGTCTGGCTGCTGAACGGCAGCTCGGGGCTGTCTTCAGGTTTGACTGTTTTTATGTCCTGGTTCTGACACGTCCCTCGCCTCCTGTAGAGGAGTCTGGCCATTACGGCTAACGCAGACACCGCAACAAAGATCACCACCGCTATCACACCTGCACAGAAGAGAAAGGGGAAACGTTACAGCAGCTCAGCAATGAGGACGTGGGACTTCCTTACTCACAATTTAGATCAATGCTCGTTAAAAAGCGAGAGAAACAAAACCATGACGGATTTTTTAAACCCCAACCAACAGAAAGAAAGCTCAACTAAACCACTGAGTAAACTCTGAGTCTACAAACACGGCACACTTGGTTGGTTCAACGTCTGTTCTCGCTCCATGTAACTTCCAGTGGAACTGACTGAGTCACTGAGTTTCAATCAAACGAACACAAAGTAAACTCCAGCACTGCTCTGTATAATTTAATGTGTTCTCCCGCAACCCACAGGTTTTTTTTAATCTTTCTAACAAACAAAACAACCCACCGATAAAGGGACAGAGGTAAAAAACATAAAGTAAATATGTCAGTCAACAAAGTGTGTGTCTGTAACTGTGAGTATTTCCACAATGAAGTCAATAGAAATGTAAACACAACGAATGAAGATTTCATCACTGTGTGACTTCATAAATCCTTGTTTTTAAACGGTGTAAATTGGAACCTGAGAACCCGATAGGAGACCAAACTTGTGAAATCAAACACCTGCTCAGAACAACAACTGGTAAGTGGCCAAACAGGTACGAGAAAACAAATTGCTTTTGCTCCGTCATTAGTGCTGCGGTCTGCTCATTCTCTGCAGGCTCCCAGGGCAATTCCAGCTATTAGAGGGTCTCTGCACCGACGTTAGCTAATAAAATAAATGGACGGTCTCTGTGCCTGGAGAATAACGTCATTTTTATTCCAATTAGTTGTGTGTGCTTTTGTGTACTCAGACGCAGTCGTGCTGTGTGAGGGACAGCTCAGGGGTTTTTAAGGCTTTTCATTTACACAGCGTGCAGCTCAGCGTTAGACTTCCCTGAGTTCAGTTCCTCTGCTCTCAGGAAAAGAAAAGAACCAAACGTTAAAATGTGTCTTAAACTTGGAAATTTGTCAGCGCTTTACCTCCGATTAGAGCCGAGTCACTCCTCATGGCGTTGACTAGAGGCTGACCTGTCTCCACTGGTCCAGACTGACCTGCAGCGCAGAGAGAGACAGACAGAAGACAAGAGAAAAGAAAAACGTGAAGCTGAGAAAAGGAAGATAAGAGGACGAGTGTATAAGACGGATCACAGGGGAATTAAAAGTGATGAAGAACAGAAGAAATGAAGGAGAGTGTAATAAAAAGTCAGATCATCAGTGAGAGCAGAAATGTGACATCATTGTCCATTCAATCTTGTCGTCTGGAGACTCATTACATCATCAGGAGCCTGAAGGTCTCATCATGAAGAGACGAGTCACCCACACAGAAAACTGGACTGTTCCATCTATGATAACCTCAATTACTTTACCTTCAACAGCTGAACGTCTGGGTCATGTCTTTAATACATCTTTTACATTTGACCTGGTTAGTTTTGCTTCCACGTGTCATTGACACTGATTGGTTTGTAGATGTCCGTGTCTTTCTGTTTCAATGGACCGGTTCACTCTGTTTTTATCATTGCTGCCGGCAAAATGAACGTCCTCGTCGTTCGAACACATCAGAGGTGAAGACTACAAACAATCCTGTGAGCTGCTTCTTCAACATCTCTGAACTATGAAAAGAACCATGGTTCAGTTGGATCTGGACAGAAACCAGCTGTTTAGGTCAAATTAAATGTAGTCCCGTTGGTCTGGACCGTGGTCTGAGGAACCTCACACCTGATATTAGAAACATATATATCAGAACAACTTCAGATTCAAGCACTGCTGACAGAGATATCTTGTATTTTCCTGTTGTTTCCTTGACTTCCTTGTGTTTCATGTTTGGCCCCAGTTTCTGTTTCCATGTTGAGAGTGAATGTTCTGGTTCTCCTCTTCAGCCTGAGCACCTGCAGCTGATCATCCAAATCATCGCTACGAGTCACCGCAGCAGAAAACCCCGGCTCTGGAGCCTCAGCGGTCCGGACGCCACAGCCAAGTTTCTCTCTCTTAGCTAGTTGAGTTTTTTGCGCTCGCCTGAACAACGTTAATTCCAAGCCTCGGGTCCACAACCTGCCATGTCCACGTCTTCCTCTGCTGCTGCCTGTTCAGATTGATGATTCCCAGTCTGCTCTGCCAGCTCCAGCCCGTCGTCCCGCTCCATTGCCTGCAACACACGGACGTTCCCATCTCCCTATAAACCAAATCCAACCCTCAATCCTCTCCTGCCAACACACAACCAACTGAGACTCAAGCTGCAACCAACTGCTCTTTCTCTGGTCCTAGATTGAACCATTATAAACAAAAACTCTGAAACAAACAAACCATGAAAATGTTGTATTTTTAATAAAGGATCATATCAGAGGTTTTAACACATGAGCTACAAATCAATGTTTTTATGTCAAACCAATTCAGTCGATGGGCTGAACACAGAAAGCTACCATTGTGTTCTATTTAACAGCAGATAGTTTTCTATAAGACACATGTTTGATATTGTAAAAGCCGACAAAAGACAAAAAGTGAAACCTGCCTGAAATGTCTGGCATTGCAGAGCTGAGCTTGAGAGTTGGAGATTTCCTAAACCCTTTTATTGTCCAGACGAAACATGAACCAATGTTTGTCCTACTGGTCTGAAAGTTGAAATGAAATTTAAATCCTCTTCACTTCACAGACAATGAAGCTCTTGTTCATATGAATATTAATCAGAGTTCTTAAATCGGGCCTCTGGGAGATCGTTTCCCATGGCGGCAGTTGATTGACATGTGAGAGGCAGAATTATGATGAGACAAACTTGTGTGGAAATGCTGCGGAGAAGGTCAAACAGTACTTTGAATGTTGAAACAAGTTTTCTACAAGACGACAACGATGAAAATTTGAGAAAACACATAAGAGACCCATAATAAACAGCTTCAGGTTCATCCTGAACTTCAGGCCGACTGCAGTTAGCAGGTGGAGCTAATGTTCCTCTGACCTGATTGGTGATGTGTGGTTTCTGCTGCATAGGGATTTGTGGAAGAGGAGCCACAAGTGGACTGGACCAGTGGGCCGGTGACAGTGACGGGGCTGGTGTCCGGGTGGAGCAGAGCGGCCTTCAGAGGGCTGACGGAGTTAAAGAGGACGGCGGAGAGGCAGCCGGTGAAGCCCAGCGAGCCGAGCCGAGCCAGCTCCGGATCCATCTCACCGGGGTCTGTAGAGAAAGACACGGAGAATCGTTTCCCCGGATATAACATGTGTCATATGAAACATTCTGTCTCATTTGACCTAAAACGCCTCTCATCACTGGTTCAATCAAGACATGCTGATGAGGACAAACTCGATATTTCGCTGTGGGGTCGGAGTGGCGGTGCTTCACCTGGGTCAGGAAGTCCCACAGCCTCTCGTCTCATTAACAACCTATTTCTTAGTCCGTCTCCGAGGGCACAATCCGTAAAGAACATAACTAGGTCACGACAAAGTAAATTACGCTGCTGTCATGTCTCCGCTACACGTGAGATCTGTGTCACACGCCCACCAGACAGTCAGGGAACAGGAGCACGGGTATTTCCAGAGAACCGTCTTACATGTTATAAAAGCGATTTCCAGATTTAATACAGTAAATAATAAGGAAAGCATTATTTTAATTTTTAACACAGTCTTCAAATTTTCTATCAGAGCAACCTGAGGTATATGTTTACTATACCTGCCCAAACTTTAGAGTTCAAACCCATATGAAGCATGTGTATTTGTTCTGTAGCTTTCCAGAACAGATTTACTCAACGTAACCTCAGCAGCCTCAGAGGTGTTGAGACTTTCATATGTAGGAAAACCAGTAAACAAATATTGTTTCAAGGTCACGCAGAACCCCTACAAACCTGACACAAGCGAAGAACTGTGGAAAAACAATCTTTCGTAATCTCATCCTGTTGTTTCCGTCATAACAAATGTCGTGATCTGATGAATGCAAATCGAGATGTGTTTCGATCACACTGCTGTGCAGCTGGAAAGGGCCCGGGGCGTTCGATACCCTCTCACTTACGGTGCACTCTGCCGAGAGCCAGCAATCTGATGCCGTTGAATTCTACATCGGATGTCAGGTTGAAGTCCTCTTTGGTGTTCTGGTCAATCTGAAGGAAAAATACACCAAATCACAATCAGGTAGAAGCTCAGAACATAAAACTAACTGAAAACATAAATTCATTTTAAGTTTTAAGAGGTGATATACACTTTATTGTTTGCAATAGAATCTCATGGTCTGGTGAGTGGACTTAAGATGAGAATAATTAAGATGTTACTGTGTCCGGCTCTCTGAGAACTTGTATAGCGAATTAAACAGTTGTGTATCATCAGCGTACAACTTGAGCTTGAACGAAGATCGTCCTTGAATCAGGTGCCTCGAGGTTACACTCTAACTTATGGGAAACTTAGAGGAGCCAGCGGGGAAGGTAGCATGTTGAAAGTTTAGAGGAAAATTCTCCTTGAGAGGTTTGACTGCAGCTCAGGCTTCATCATGTCTGAATGTTTCCTGCAGCTCGGCCCTGCTGTCTCCTCATTGCTTCTCCTTCTGGTTGTTGAAGTTGACAGAAGCTGCTGAGAACGTCAGGCTGACTCATCTGAGCAGAACTGTGCAGCCTCTCGTGTGCGTTTGTTTGTTACCTGCACAGAAACAGCATCTGCCAGTCTGCTGACAGTAACCGTGTGTAGATGCCCGTTGGCGAGGTTCCTCGTTTTGCTCCTCAGGATTTCTGCGTCTTTGCTGCTGTCGAGTCTGTATCGCACCTCCAGCTTCTCTGAACACACAAAAATCAACAAAACCGCACACTGTTTTTTGGCACAAAGCAACTAATTAAAAGAATTACCAAACATTTTAAATTGTTCACTGATCAAATTCTGTAATCATCCACAATTTTAACTTTTGAAGTAAACTTTTAGTTTTCTGTTGAAAAAAACCTTGATTATATTCAGTAAAAACAGAACGAATTGTCTTTCTTTGCTAAATGTGTCCTTGTCCCGATCACCTATGTTAATAGAAATGTGTATTAGTACGTATTAATATGTATTGAGTGAAGTCTGGATGTTCCAGGGCTACAGGAGGGAACTGGAAGGAATTCAATATTTAGAAAATTAGGGCCAAATGCAGCCAATAAAACTGCAGAGACTCAAGTTAAATCATTAGCTTTTCATGGGTGAGAGTGTTTCTAATGACTAGATTGTTTGTATCTTATGCATAATTCATCGTTTTTCATCCGTGCTAATTATGTTTTAACACTTAGCAGTTGTTAGAGGTGGAGAGACAAAGCAGAGTGACTGTGCTAAGATTAACAAGTCACAGGGGACGTCCCACAGAAGCGACAGATTCCACTGAACGTCAGCGAACATGGAGGTGGTGAAAGACGGTGATGGCTGGAATCTTTTCTCGTAAAAACACATTTTCTGTTTTCTACCTGAGGTCTTTAAAGTTTCTAGAGAAACTGGAGCTGAGAGCTCACCGTGCTTGTCGAGCAGCAGAGCCAGGTACTCTCTGTGGGAAGAGCTGACGTAGAGGAGCAGCGTGGGACTCTGGCTGGTCCTGAAGCTCAGGGAGATGTTCTCTGCTCTCAGGGTCACGTCCGAGTAGATGGGGGAGGGCATGGCGCTGCTTCTGTTCGGCCCGTTCACCGCCTGCTCCTTGAACGTGTAGCTGATGGAGGTCCCCGCCTTAAAGCTGGCTGAGACCTCTGCAGCGACGGAGGTGATGGCACAAAGTTTGAGCACAAACAGGACCAAGTGCGTTTTAAGGGACTTTGAAGTGAAAGTTTGATTCACAGCATTTTGTCTTCACATATTTTCTTTACCATTTTATCTGTATTATAAAAAGATTCCAAATAATTATTTACTTGTGTCAACACTGTTCACCACATCCGCTCATAAACGTTATGAACTTGTCTCAGCCTAATTAGCTGGAGAATCGACAGCCACAGAAAAACAAGATGACAACTGAATGAGAACAACACAAAATTGGGCTGTTAATTATCACATAGTTGTGTATTAAAGTTTTCATAGCAGATAATACATCCGCAGCTGTTAATTATTGAATACACATTTCCTGTGACATCTCAAGTCTTCCTGTGATATTTTGAAAAAGAAGTGTGCGGTTTTTAAAAATACCTTAATGCAAGTTTTTTTAACAACACAAGTTTGTGTATATATATAGTTCTTCGATGATTAAAGCAAACACTTCAAATCAGCCAACCAAAAACTTCATAATTGACTTCAGGATAAACGTCTTATATCACAATTCCCACACGATCAAGACAATTAGCAGCTGTGTAATATGAGGATTTGATGTGTTGAGTGCACGGAGGTGTGTCATGCAGCTGTGCAACCACAGGGCTCCTGATTGTTCGTGCACGTCCCAGGCTCCATCTTCACATTTATTTACAGAGCACTTTGAGAGACATGCGTCTGCGTACCTCTGTCGCAGAAGGCTCCGGTGTAAGCCGACGGGCCACAGTTGCAGGAGAAGCTGCTGGTCCTCTCCACGCAGCGTCCGTGGTTCTGGCACAGGGAGCCGTAGCTGCTGCAGTGGCCCGGACATCCCGCCTGAACCCCGGGGGTGATCCTGGCTCTCTCCTCCAGGTCCAGGGTGACGCCGTTCAGCTGCAGAGCACGAATACAACCCCGAAATCCCTTCTGCCTGGACGCTGTGCCTCCTGACGACACACAGTGGAAACACTCACTTAACAGTTTAGTCTGATCGATTCTGAAATACGATCGAGAGGTTTGAGTTAAGGGACGTTTGTCTTTTTGCCATGATTCTACACGATTCTTGAAGATGAACTTTCTGTCTGTCGATTCATTTATGGAGCTAATTTCATTTCATTTCAGCAGTACATACTTTTCTACCTGGGCTCTTTGTGGGAACACTGCAGGTGTCACCTTCTATATCATATATACCCGAGTTTCTATTCTATGGTTTAAAACAAACCTTGAGATTTTCATTATGTTGTGTATCCATCACAGTGAACATCACCTCGGTTTTATTTTCTCTTTCTGAGCTCCATTATTTTTGCATGGTAATGCAGACTCTGCCTTTACTCGCACCAGTGACATAACTTTATCAAAAATACATGATGTTCTCTATGGCTGCTTATGCAACCGAAGCAAGTTTCAGTCTTTTCACTCTGTTCAGAAATGAATGAAAAACAAAACCTATCACATCCGTAATCAAACTGCACAGAGATACAGATGGTATCTGATTTTAATATTTGCTCAACAACTTCCAGACACAACATTTGTCACCACCCTCGTGCTGAATTATTCAAATGACGAGATGATGAAATGCAGTGAAACACAAACTGGCAGGTGAAAATTTTAAGGGGCCGGCTCTGTACCGTCTGTCTGCCGGCCGAGCACCATGCTGATTGTTGATATCTGGGAAGTTGACGGACTGTCAGTCTCTGACAGGTTGCTTGTCCTGTCCGTCCTGACTGTGACAGTTATTTTCCCTCGTCTCTGGCAGAATTTAAACTCCTGAGATTATTGTTTTGTGACTTCTCACATTACAACCTCCTTCTAGGCTCAGACTCGCCCGAGTAACAAGAATTGCTATCGACTGATTGATTGAGCTTGACTCTGGAGGAAAATGAAATCTGAATGTTATGACAAGGTGTTCTCGAATTTGGAAATGTGAAGAAAAGTAATAACTCTGTGACAAAGAAGTGGTCTGAATATTGTAAAGTTACTTTTTACTATAGTGATGTTATAAACGGCAGTTTTGAATTGTATTTCAGTTGTGTGCAGAACACACACACACACTCACACAAACACACACAGACCTATGAATAGCTGGCTGTTGAGCTGCAGGTGAATGTGTCCGTCAGCAGGAGCCTCCTGAGCGGCAGCGGGGAGCTCGTCGAGGCGAAGCGTCGCCTCTTTGATGTTGCGCTCGGCTCGGATGCGATGCCACCTGTTGTCATCGAGGGGGAAGGCAGCCTTCACTCCGACCTCCAGCGGACCGTTACCCACGTCGAAGGAGAAGAGGACCTCAGTGGAGGCTGCAGCAGGGAAGAGGGAACAAGTCGACTCAGTGGAAATAGTCGTCAACATCAGTTTTCACTATCCACTCAACATTTCTCTCTGCAGCCGTGTTCCCTCCACAGACTGGAAGTAAAGATGGACAACATGATGGCTCCCCCACATGAACCCTGCCTCCTCCATGTTAGCAGGTGGCACATGGATGAAACTAAAAGGCATGAATACAGTACGAACAAGCTCCTGTTGAATTTCTTACAGCACATGGTTCAGCAGCTGCAGCTAACATTTATTTTATATCCAATTAAAATCTCTAAAGACCATCATTCTATTCTTATGTCAGAGATGGTTTCCTGCAAAGTGCTGCGAGTTCATTCTGCACCTGTGTGGTTTTCTCATTAGCTGCCCGACTGTAAATGACCCTTAATGTTTGCAAACTCTCCGTTGTCACGAGGAATCTTATTCCCCGTGAGAGCTTCAGGAGAGGATGAAGCGATCTCTGCAGAGGGACTGAGGAGCCAGTTGACACTTTGACACACGAGCTCCACTGGAACTTTGATGAGAAAAGAATATATATATTCAGATTCAAGTAATTAATCATTAGAGCGAAGAAAACAAACATCAAACACAAAACCAGCTCACAAGGGAGGAGACACCGGAGAGCGGTTGTCCTGGCAACGAGTTACAATTACGGCTGGACAGCTGTAGTTTTGACAACCAGCAAAGATAAATCTCTTATTTAAGTCGTTTTAATAGAAATCAGCAAAGCTCTGACATGTGACATTGAGTCAACACATAACATATACAGTCATCAGTTGAAGGGACCAGATGGCTGCCTGTAGTTTAAACCCTGATTTTAACCTTTGTATCTTGTGAGAAAATATATTGTCCGTCATAAAAACGTCTGTTTCTATCAAGTTCAATGTTGCACCACATTACGTTTAGTGAGTCACATTGAAGAACAGCTCACAATATGTGAACGAAGATGAATGGTGACGGTACGATGATATTTCAACAGCAGAGCCCCGAGATACAGACGACTCGAAACTGTGGTAGTTATAAAGGAGATGCACTGCAGCAGGCTGGAACAATGACACTGCAGTGATTTCCCAGAGGAGGAACATTAAATGGTGGAGTTGCTGGAAAAGTATATTTCTTTTCTGGGTTTAAAGGATCTCAGGTGGAGTTTGAGGGAGGAGCGCCCCCCCCCCAGCTGAGTTCCCTCCAGATGGGACTTCATCTACCGCCATGAATCCTTCCTGCCCAGGTTGTACTCCGCATCCATGAGCCGCCCGGATTAGACGCCGAACCTGAAAGCTTTTCACTTACAGCTGAGTTCGATCCGAATGA